CTCTGAACCCTATAGAGTGAAGACTCTCTTATGAGGCTAGATCGCATTTAAAAACAAAACTTAAGCCTGGCAGAACTGTGGAGATGTCCCATGTTGGTAGGCTACCACCTACTTGGACTCAATTGGTTGCCCCAGATATTTGGGTTTCAGGCCCTGTCATAGTTACCTGGGTGGCACAGAGAAGCAGGCGGTGCAGGGACTCTGAGGAAGAGTGCATTCCAGAGGACACGGGGAGAAAGAGCCCTGGTTGTGTTCTTTGGAAGAACCTGACTTTCTCTTTTGCTGCTTCCAATGCTTTTCTGTTCAGAGCTCAACATTCAATAACCCTGTGCAGCCCACAAAGCTGCATTTTTGTGGTCAACATTCTGCTCTTTCCCTAGAAACTTGTTTAAGTCCATTCTGTTTCTGGTGAATGGATGTCTGCTCTAAATTTGCCCTCCCTGAGAATACCAAAGTCAAGTGCTTGTCAAGATGTGCATAAAATTCTCTCTCAAGTAAGGAATATACTTTGTCCAAACATTTTGGAGGTAAAGAAAATACAAGAAGTGTTAAGTTAGTCTTACAACTTTTTTTGAATATAATTCTGAATATCTTTGCAAGTACACATATACATATAGGACAGATATATACATAAGTTAAATATAAACACATAAGATAAATAATCACTAGTAGAGTATTAATTAAACCAACAGACCTTTAGACTGAGGTAGCTCTAATATTAAGGTGACCTATGTAAGCAAACCGAAATCTAAACCTGTAAAGGACTCAAAGTTATGACCTTGAAACCTAAGAACAACCAACCACGAGTCGCCAACTGAGCCTTAAGCTACAACCCATCAGTAATTCCTGTGCTTTCCTTTGCTTGTCTCTGTAAGAATTCCCACCTCTTATTAGTGAAGTGTTTCTAACTACATCCAGTTTGGTACTGTCCAAATCCAATTAATAAAATACTTAAATGAACTTAATTTTTTAAGGTATGCCTTAGTTATCTTTTTATTGAGAGTTTGCAGATGAAAAGAGTGGTTGGGTCATATAACAGGCAATCCAACAGCATGAAAACTACTGGGCATCAAACATCCTGAGGGCTCTGAGGCTACAGGAGCTAGGGAGAGGAATGGAGCAAAAGGAGACAAAGGGTGGCATTGGGGAAAAGAAATAAAAAAAAAAATGAAATAAATAAAGATGCCAGAGCCAAGCAGCCACCCCTGCGAAGGGTACAGCAATATTTAATAACCATCTGGTATTTTTCCTTTTCTTTCTGACTTACTTCACTAAGCATGATCCTTTCCAATTCCATCCATGTTGCTGCAAAAGGCATGTGTTTATGTTTTTGATTGCTGAGTAATGTTCCACTGTGCATATGTATACCACATCTTTTTAATCCAGTCATCTCAAGAAGTAGATTTTTAAAGATCCCACTGAGCTAGTAATGACTTATAGCTTTTCTGCATATAGAAAAGTAGTATGAACTAGACTGGAGAAATAGCAGGGCCTTCTTGTTCTGTCCTGATGAAGACAGAATGTGTGCTCTTCACCTATGACATCAGTACTGGGGTCATTCTGATTCATGATTTTAAAAAGATGCTGTCTCTGAATCACATTCATTAGGGCATACACTTTGAGGTTGTTTTTCCCTAATGATGAATTTGTGCTGATCCAAGCACACTTTCAAGTCCTTTTGTTGCTGAGAAACTTTCATTTGTAAGATAAATGGCTGGTTTGGGGACTGTCTGTGCAGAAATAAGAGAAGTTAACTGGGCCTCAGAAATACTATAAACTATATTTTTAAGCATGAGCTGAAATGCAGTTTTGTCTTTGGATTGATTTTTGATGGTTTAATATGGGGGAGACTATAAAACTGTAGAAAATAGAAACACAATTAAATCACATTTAGTTTTGCTTTAATTACCCCCATGAAAAGAATATGATATTGGTAATGACAGGGTAATGTAAGATATATTCTTTGATTTCTTTCTGATCCCCCCAACCTAATTTCAGCTCCTTCTTAATAACCTTCAGGCATCTCAAATTCAACAATTCCAAGAGCCAAGTCCTTACCTCTTTTCGCAGATCTACACCTGCACATGTCCTTGGGTCTGATGACTCCCAAGCTTGAGTGATCCTGGTCTCTCTCCTCTCCTTCTATATAGCGAATCAGTCACCTTGACCTGTCAACTCTCCCTGTCAAATGACTTCTTGCTCTGCCCTCCACCCCACTGTCTTAATTCTAGCCTTCATCTTTCCTTCCTTGAATTCTACACATGTGTGTCTCCTGTGGCATAGAATACAAAGTTCACAATCTGGCTTAACGTACAGGATCCTACTTAATCTATTCTTCCCAGAATTTGACCCATTCTTTTTAGTTGCTTTCAAAGTCCTTTCAAAAATCCGTGTCAGTTTTTGAACAGGCATTTCTACCTTATCTGCTAAGCCAGCATTGCTTCGCCATTTGAGACCTGGCAAAAATGTTGCCCTCTTTGGGGGTTGTTTCCTAATTCTACCTATCAGGCTAGACACTGTTGTCCCATAACTACTACCCTTACCTGTCCTGCACAGGCTAGCCATCTGCTTGTCTTTCTCCCTAAATGCAGTTATTTCATCAAGGACAAGGACTGAGGTTTCATCATAGAATTCCAGTTATCAGTTCAGTGCCTGGTAACTGGCAGTTAGAATTTTTCTGAATGAATGAATGGAAGAACTTATGTGTTTGGACATGATAATAGCATATACTAAATAACTGAGGCTTTTAACCACAAACCAGGGATTATCTATAATAGAACATGCTTTGAATAACTATTAGGAGACCTCTATTTACCTTTGAACCTATGTAGTATAAAGCCATTGGGTCTTCCTGGTAGGTATTAGGTATTTCTCTTCTGTACTTTCTCATATGTATTACTGGTCTTTCTTCCTCTCCTACACACACACACACACACACACACACACACACACACACATGAACACGAATATGAACATGAACATGAACATGAACACATATTACCTTTTTAGTGAACTGCCTCGCCAGATTGTTGACAGAATTGGACTCTCACCCCCCAAATCCTCAGCCTTGGACCTTACTGTCTCTTTCCTTCAGGCCAGGTACCAAAACACCACAGTTCTTACTTTTCTAACTGATGCCCATCAAAGAGCTCTGCTTGAAAGCAGTGGGGCCTATTACTGTTGAGCAATCTTCCGATCTCCACCCAATCAGACAGTCTCATCTGACGGTGGATTCCACCACTGCATCTTGGACTAATGGCTCTGTGATACCAGAGCAGAAGGTAGCTCAGAGTGGCCAGGGATCCCAGTCTGCATGCAGACAAAAAAGCAGGAAGGCCAGGCAGTGGGGGGTCAGTAGGTTCCCTGCTGCTAGCCACACTGCAGCTGAGCAGAGCCGGGGACTGGTGGTGAGGTGACGGTCAGAGGGCAGAGCAGCTCTGTGTGACTGGGTTGACCCACACCCTTCTCCAGGTGAGAGCCAGGAGGGAAGTCACACATGCAAGGAGAGTCTGAGCTAAGTTGATAGCAAATTTGACTGCAAAGAACTCATCGTGTGATACAAGGTGAAAGTTTGATAAATAAAGAGATTTAGAGCTAGAATTCACTTGAGGTAGAAAACGGTAAATATCAAAGCCCCTGTGAAAATCACTCAGAGAATGGGAAGTAATCGCTATGAGCATTTATAAGGTAATTACACTGTGGTAAATGCATGGAATCTGCCTTCTTTGCTCCATCATACACTAGTGTATTTGAGATGTGAATTTTTTTAAATTATGGCACCAGTTGTTGTTCTGTGGGGATTATTGTATTATTCTTTGCATTCTTTGTCTACCTGTAACATTTGGTAGAGATTTGATGTCCTTTTTTATAATAGAGCCATGGGAATCACTTAAGAAAGATTTACATCCGATTTATGTTAGATGATAGCATCTATGAGAAGCTAATTTGGCTGTGCTAGAAGCACTTAGAAGCTTACAAGTTCAGGTTGAATCATATGGCTAATTCAGTGCTAGAATGTCCTTAATCCCATGCTCCCTAGATCAATAACTGCTTGAGCAAGATTGAACTTGCAGTCGGTTGGCTCCACCCCTCACCCTCACTACTAAAAGCCCAGCCCTTTCTCAACATAGTTTTGCCCACAACCCCTCCACATTTTATCATTCCACTCGGTCCATGCCTAGAAGCCACAGAAGTGCTAAATGAAGTCAAAGTGTTAAAATTAGAATTTCAAATGGTTGGCGAGGCTGCCCAGGGAAGAGGAGCCTTTTGAAAGTGAAAATGGAAGAAAAGAAAGGCATGTGGCCATGATGAACAGTGGTGGGCCCACGTGGTGTGGAAATAAGATCTGTGAACCAGCGTTGCTGGGGGGTGAGCCATGGTCTGTCTTGAAGCGAGGCCAGGGGTCCCATTTGGTCAGAAGGCTGGAGGGCTAAGAGCAGTGAGTGCAACATGGGCACAAAAAGAAGTCAAGGTGAAAAATGACCCTTGACATTGAGAGGATGTATCACACAGCTATTCAATGCCCCAAGATGGACTTTGGACATGGTAACTTCTTCAGAGTCCTTTACAAGGAGACAGAAAGAAAAAAAGGCTTGTCCTCCTCCAGCCTCTCCATCCCGGCTTCATTTCTAAGTCTACCCAGGTATTACTTTATGCATCTTTTCTGTGTGCTACCACCAGATCCTGTGTATCTGTAGATGGAGGTGTATAGATGTACACTTGCAAACAAGAGCCAATGAATTCTTGAAAGCAGATACCCATGAACTTTTTTCTCAGTCATATTTAGAATCTGTTTTAACCTAAAGTTATGGAGACAGACTTGAAAGGAGACATCTCCAACATTGCTAACATGTAAGTATAAAAGGCACAAATTGGATGGATATCGATGATGTTATTTCTGTAGAGACATCATCCATAGACTCCTAGTGTCTTTGCTTTGCTTCCCTATAGTGATCACAACATAAATTACTTGTCTTGTTTGACTTCCTTGTTCACCAAAGTTGAGCAGATTGTGGCCGTTTTCAACGCTTCTACCAGACAAAAAGCTTGGGACCATTTCTCGAAAGCTCAGCGCAAGAACATAGACATTTGGCGAAAGCATTCTGAGGTTGGTGATTTTATTATTACTTTTTAACCACCATCACACAGCTGGATTGGCAGAGAATAGTGTGGCTGCAGCCATTATGGTTTTGTTAGAGTGGGCGGTCCTCCTGTCACTGTCCTGTTTCATTGTTGGTGCCAAATTCAGCTCAGATTTGTTCCTCATCCAGAAAAGCAGCTGACAATGCTGAGAGGACAGAATGCTTTTCTCCCCTGTAGAGGGAGAAAAGAATCTCTCCCTGGATAGTAATTAGCCAGAAATAAACCAAGAGACTTTGCCCATTAAGTTATTTTTTCTAATATGTGACATAAGATTAAAAAAAAATCGTTTTTAATTAAATACAGAGTTCCTTTTTTTTTTCAGCATCTTACAGCATGATGATGATGGTTTGCCCTTTGGGCTAGAAATGGCAAGTATGCCTTCCCATCCCTGTCTTCTCTTCATAAGCAAGGTCTTAGGCCCCTGAAGTACTCGTAGATTCTATCACACTTCTTTCCAGAGCAAATTCCTAAGGGGAGTGAGTGCCCAGGCTAACCAGACCCACCTTTCTGCATTCATGCATGTGTGAAGTGTGAGTATTCTAAGGAAAGAGTCCAGAATGTGACCTTCATTGCCACATAGAAAGACCAGAATGTGTCATTAGTCATTGATCATCCAGCTGTTATTTTTAACTCCACAGTGTAGTGTACGCTTTGAACCTGTAATTTAAAAGTAAGTATACTGTCTTTGTTTGCTTCTTCTTTTCTTTTTAAGTGAGTGTTTTTCATCTGGATGCTTCTCCATCTCTAGCATGTTAATATTAAGTTCTCTAAATGAATAGTCCCCTCTTTCAAAATCCCAAACTTATAGAAGGTAAGGCTTACTTATTTAATGATTTTGGCTCACACTTGTAAAATAGTGTTTTATAAAGAGTTTGAGCAGCCACAAAATACTATGATATCAATCATTTGGGTAGCATTTTAAGTGCCCATTAACTAATGCAAAATTACAGTTGAATACCAATGGCAGTAGATGTAACATCCACATGAATACCAAATGAATTCTTTATTATCACTGTTATTATGGTGAATACCGAATGACTTCACAATAATGGGACACTTAAAATGCTAGTGCAATTTATTGTTAAGAAGGTGATTTTTTATTTTGTTCACAAATGCCTCCGAAGGTGGTTGGTGACTGATGCATTTCTGTTCCTCTATTCAAGATTCTGAGTAAGGAGGAGGTGGGGCTTTTCTTTAATTTTTTCAGGGGCCATTAAAACAAGGGGTACTTACCTTCCTGGTGCTTTCCCAGATACTGAATCCAGATTGAGTCAAGGTTGAGTTCCAGCAGGAAGAGTCGCCCTCATTTATGATGAAATATACAAATAGAAGGTTATGAAAACCCAAATTGGAATCCATAAGCAATTATTCAGACTTGGGGGTGATCTGTGATGAATCATTTATTTTCTTTCCTTCTCTAAAAATCCAAAGATGAATAAAGGAAATTTTAAGAGAAAGGCAAGTAGCATGATGTTGAATAAATATGGACATTAAAAAGCATCACATATGTCCACCAGCATTGGTTGTTGGTCGACATCATGCTTCCTGCCGTGTTTGGTCCCTTCCCCTGGCCCTGCTTCCCGGAGCTGGAACCTCCTCATTCCTGAGAAGCTGGGAAGGTTCCCAGCATTCAGTTGGGGTCATATCCATAAGATATGATCCTGAGCTTTGTTCTAAGGATGCCTGCTTGTTCTGCTCTGTGTCGGGAGGTGGTCTCTCAAGGCGCTCCTTTCAGGCCCGTGCGCCTCCTGCTACTCTCCCAGCTCTTTTGATGTATTTTGGACATAGAATTCTCAGCTACCTTTGATTTTCTCTCCTACATGTCCTTAATTGATTAAATACCAGTTGGTAATTTAACATTGTAGATGATTTCTCAGGTGCTTATAAGCTTGATAATTGGCTTGATTTTTTTCTGTATCCCCATGTACTGCATCTGTTAATTATCAGCAACACCTTACAGATTTATTAGCGTGTACTAGTGATTTACTGCTGAACCACAGGCACCCTGAGGAAACACCCTTAGCTTTTTTTTTTTTTTTTTTCAAATTTTCCCTCTGTTTTTCTTTTGCCTCCCTTCCCCAGAAGAACAGCTGCTACTGTATGACAGTTCGTCATTAATTGAAAGGACTAAACAACAGGCCCTTTGAACTTCATTTATTCTTCACCTGACTTTTCCTTGTTTCAAGTGCTTTCAGTCCACCTCTGTGGGGATAGGGCTCTAAGTCAGTAGAAAAATTAGCTGTCCACAACCTAAAAATGTGTGCCTGCTCGTCATGTATGACAGTCACCTCCCAAACCCAGTGGTACTATTTAAGGCAGTGTCAGCTTCTCTTTCTGCTGGGTGGGCTAGTCAAGTAGGGAGTTAGTGCTGGGCCCACTGGCCTCTGAGGACTCCGATGGTGTTCCTATCCCAAGGAATTTGCCTCTCTGCCTCTGTGATTTCCTCTTCTCTGCATGGGTGGTCCCCAGGCTTCAGAGTTGACCACACATAAACTGTTGGCAATAAATAACGCCCTTTCCATCATGTTACAGTTAAAGTCTGTAAGCTGAGTAGAGAAGAGAATTGAGAGAACATATCACACAGAATAAAATATGTATCTATCATATCAAATAACCTCTGGACCTGTGTGTAAAGTCACGCCACTGCATTCTATGTTGTCATTTAGCTTGTTATGCATAGGTTTATTTTTTATAAAGTGACATTATCTCAGCTCTTTTTCTTTTATTTGAAGACTTTTGCTTAAACAGGGAAGCAAAAGAATAATGCAGCTCTTCCTCTGTTTTAAGATTTTTGTTTTAAGGATAGTACATGCAAGAGAACAGAATGACTAAGGATTCATCAGTATATAATATACAGCTTGTGACAATATAAATAATTATTTAACATAAATGATTATAGTGTTCTGATTTTTAGGCACAGTAGTAAAGCATTTATTGTGTAATTGTTCACTTTTTATGCATTTTCATATACACGCTTGCATTCAAACTGCCTTGTTTTACTACTGTTCTCCATTTATATGTGAGTAGACAAAGCCACAAAGAAATTAAATGGATTGAGTGCAGTCACTCCACTAGTGAGTGGAGAAAGTAAGTTATGATCCTAAAATCCTAAAAGTGGTGCTAATACAACCATCCAAACAAAAACAGTTAACCCAAAATGGTAGCGTGAATGTTTATTTTGTCCTTCAACGTTCTTTTGAATGTTACCATTTAGTTTAGTATATGTGAACACACACACACACACACACACACACACACATGCAGGGGCCCTATTTTGCATGAATAATAGTGATAGTCAACGCTGTCAACTTAGTGAACCAAACATCCAGCCTGATGCTAAATATGTATTGACTCATCTTATCCTTATTGACTCATCTTATCTTACTACCACACTATTGCAATGAGTAAATTGAAGCTCAGACAAGACACACAGCGGGTCAGCAGGAGAGAAGGCTTTTGATGTTTCTACCCACATCCAGTAACGCGTGACTTTTATGGGCCAGGCATGGCAGTAGGTAGTTCTCGTAATCTGCGCAGCCGCCCCACTAGGTGGACGTTGTATTCCCCACCTCCCTTTTTTTTCTTTTAACACATGAGGAAAACGAGACATAAGAGAAATGGAATCAGTTGTGAAGAGCCCTTCAGTAGTCAGCGGTGAGCAGGGATTTCACCCAAATCTGACACCAAATCCCTCTGTTTTTCCACACCTCCTCCACCTCCTCACAGCTTCATCCTAATGAGGAGAGGTAATGTTTGGGAGGTAAAAGCGTCAGAGTATAAATTTAAATTACAGTTCGCGTGCCAGTCCTAATACATCAAAGACCATTGGAAAGAGGTGTGTTGACAGGTGTCTGTGACTCTGACGTGGGGCCTCCTCTACTTTCAGGAGCTCAGGAATGCTCAGAGTGAGCAGCTGATGGGCATCCGGCGCGAAGAGGAAATGGAAATGTCAGACGATGAGAACTGTGACAGCCCTACTAAAAAAATGAGAGTCGACGAGTCAGGTAATGCTGATCACTGCTGCATCCCCACGAGGTCTCATAATCACCTTCCAAGCCCTGGATGGGCATGCATATTGGGAAATGACCACATAACTCATTTTTATTTGAGTTATACTTAAATTTTCATCTTTGAGTGACTCTGCCTTTTATTAATAGAACTTTAAACTCCTTCTTAGGAGCATCGTGATTTAAATTGCTACAGTGTTTCTCCATATGTAGGTCTGGGGCCAGTTATACTTTTCTTTTTATCAGGATATTTGTCTGGTCCCATAAAAATCCTTTCCCAGAGTGTGGCATCCATGACTGATGCTGAAATATAGATAAAAACTGGGTTTCAGTCAGGGTACTTACACGGAAATTGTTTCATCTCTAGAGAAGTCTTTCAGCTTCTGAGCCAAGGTGCTAGAGGATTAGGCATTTTTTCCATTAAACTTTTATCCACCTAACCTGTAAGCAAAGGGTTACAGGTGCCAAGAAGAGGACCATCACTCCTTGAGTTGTAAAAAAGAGAGAAGTTTGACAAGAACTTTGCTTTCTGTGCTCTGCTCAATCTGCTTTAAAGTCTTTTCTGGAAGTGTATGTAAATCCCTCAATATTGTTAAAGCAGGCAGAGAGAATGCTCACTCAGAGCTAGGACACACCAAGAGAAACAAGCTCCTCTGAGGGGAAAGCATTCTACAGGGGCTGGGGAGAACCACAGTTGCCAAAAAGAAGAGGAGCAGTATAAATCTGATCTTCTCCCTTACATGCATCAGAGGACAAAACACACACCTTTTTAAGAATCTCTGGTGACCAGAAACAGGTCACCAGACCTTTACTACTTTGTTTGTAGAAGTCAAACCTTTACTACTTTGTTTGTAGAAGTCAAAGCCAAGGTTATTAGGCATGCAACGTGGTAAGAATGCTGAGTTTTCCAGGACTGCAGGAGAAAATGCCAGAGGCATCCATAATGAGGGCGAGAGAAGGCTCCTGCCTTCAGACATCTACAGACTTTCTCACACAGTGGTTCTTAAAAGTGTGATTCCTAATCCAGCTACATCAGTATCACCCAGAACTTATTAGAAATTTAAGTTCCCAGGCTTTACTCAAGACCTACTGAATCAAACTACTCTAGGTGAAGTGGAAGTGAGGACATGAGATCAAGAAATCTATGTTTTATGCCTACCAGGGTATTCAAGTGCATGCTAAAAATTAAGAACCACTCAGAAAATGTCCCCTTTGTGGTCAAATTCCATTCATCAAAGTCTTTTAGAAGCTTAGTGTAGAAATAGGAACCATAACATTAATTTTGAAGTCATACATCCTTTGTCTGAAAAATAAATGAACCTAGCTAGCATTTATGTGTCAACATGTCTTTTATTACACTGCTATCAGATTCCTCAGGAGTGCTTTCTTACTAAAAGAAAGGAATGATTTTTAGTGTGACCATTTATAAAGCAAATGAGGTCATCTAGTAAATGCAACTATTTCCTAAAAATAAAAAGCTCTCATCATTTTGAAGCTTGTAGATGAGGGGCAAATTTACATGAAACATGGATCCTTAACATCTTTGTAAGTTAGATGAAGAAGAAAACAATGAAGTCGATCAGAAATCCCAATTTGAACCTGTGGCTTCTATTGTAGGGGGTGAGAGGTAGCATCATTAAACAATGTGTCCATTTCCCAAGTAAGAAATATATGTAACTCATAGTGTGAGTGTAAGAGGATGAGAACAATAAAGACTCAGAACAATAGACTCACTGAGGAGATGTTTACTACCAGGCCAGAAAGCATATACCTGCAGCCTCAGCCCCATCTCTGCTGCTGGAGAATCCACAGTGATTCCCAGGACCTCTTTTCAAGGCCCTTTATGAAAGTCTGACTGGAAAGCCCTTTCCCTGACCTCCCTTGGATTTTTTTACCCCCAGGCTTCTGATAAAGAACCTGAAAAGTCAAACCTGAACTTCTAGAAATTTTCTCCAGGCTTTGTACTTGGTCAGAAAAATGAATAAACACATAACCCAGCACGTGTTCTCTACCAGATGCTGAGGGAAGATGAAAGAACAGTTCAAATGCCGGGCCCCTAAGAGTTCAAAGTCGTCTTCATGCTTTTCAAGATGAGGTGGACCAGAGAATGCATGTGGTTTAAGAGGAAAGCACAAAGGTGATTGGGGGAGGGAAAGCAGTTAACCCTTTCTATTCTGTGTGGCCCTAAAGACCCAGCCACACCAAAGGCAGCTCTTCAGTCTCGCTTATGTGCGGACACAGCCTAACAGCAGGAATTCCCCTCTTATCTTTTGACTAAGCCTCAGACAATCCCTGTGAACAGACTGTTTAAAGCTGGAATGGAGTCCCCACAGCCTGAAGGAAACATGCCCTTTAGGCATCTTGTTAGGGGACACATCACTCATTTTTAGGTCCAAATTTGCATCTGTCAGTCACCCAGGAGCAGGCCCCTCAAAATATAGCACTCTGACTCACTGCTGGGGGAATTGTCAAGCCCTGAAGTAGAAGTGAAATTCTCTGTCATTTAAAGAATGCTGGCCCCTTTTGTTTCTGTTTTAGTAGTGGGATGCTGCCTCCCGTGTCCCCGACAGTAGCTGGGCCAGGAATTCTTGGTGACATCAGGGGAGACCTAGCCCTGGAGGAGGCCACTGCCTGTGCCAGGACAGCATCTAGGTGGCATCTCCCGAGCCAGCTCCACCCAACTCTCTGCTCTTCACCTCCTTCCTACAGCAGTAGCTAACGTGCCTGCATTTTATTTCCTAGAGGGTGATAGAGAGCTGGCTTTGTTTGGTTTCTAGAAACAAAATTTAGTACCTGACAACTTGAATGCTACCTTAGGTTTCTTTTATTTATTTATTTATTTTTAATCACATTTTTGCAACCTATCTCTGTCATTGCATATTTGGTTTTCACCACATAGAGTAATTTGCAATGTGTCTTGCCCTTAAGCTCCCCAGGACCACTACAGCTCCAGTAAACTCACAGGCTGGCTGCCCATTGTTCCCCATCAGTTGAATCTAAAGGAAGAAAAGGTGTTTACTGGAGCAAAACCTGATGTTGATCACAATGAAAATGAATTTTGTTATCAAATTTGTAAAGTAAGGCAGTTACCTAAGCATTAGTTCAAGATTGTTATCCTACTCCAAAGCCTATGAATATAGCTTTTGACAAAAATCTAAATTTATTGTGTATAGTCTTCCTCCGACTACACTAAAGTCAAGCTTTTTAAAAGCCAGATCTACTGCTTCTCCCCCTTGCTCTGTGTCTCCACTTCTCACTCCCTCTCTTCTTTCTCCCTTTCCCTCACCTCTATACCCTACCCCGGACCCCACCAGGCTGGCAGCGGGGATGGGCCTGGAGTGCATAAGGAAGAAAAGGCAAAAAGTGAGGACATCTCTGCTAGATTTCTGAGTCCTCTCATGGACAAACCTGATAAGTTTAGTATCATAGGAGTTAATGTGAGTTCATGTACCTAAGGCACTTGTGGCTTTCTATAGGGTTTTAGCACATTGTAAATGATCAGTAAATAGTGACTCTGTGTTGACATTTCCTTAGACTTGCTCCAGTACCCTGCCCTGCTCCTTTCACCAAATAAGTTCTCAGTGAAAGTTTGTAGACTTCAGTGGTATATTACCCATCTTCTGATCTTTGTATTTCACTCCCTTGTCCTATACATACGTAGGGAGGGGATAAAACTAAGAATGCTTACATTAATTAAACTGAAATGGCAAGTATGAAGAAGCACATCCAAACAAGGACAACTCATTTTCTGTGCAATGTGCAGAACTTTAGACATACAAAATTGAGTGCTAGCTGCAGATTATGGACCAGAGTTAAAACTCGAACTCATTCTAATCGTAGACAGTTGACAAGAAGCTTCTTGTGGTCAAAGCACTGTAAATCCAAGGAAATTTGAAAAGGTTAGACTCAGTTTACCCTGACCTCCAGGGCATGGGATGATTTCTGAAGACAAAAAAAGTAAACACTTTAAGTTGAAAAGTAAGCACTTTAAGTTGATAAAAGTGCAATGCCTAATAGTACATTTATCCTAACACCATTAATTTCACTTCACTACAAGCCAAAATGAGCATCACTGTCCAGTGTTCATACCTTATTCAATATTTGGTGAGTGTGCATGGAACACCGAGGGCAGATTTTAGAAGAGTGAAGCTAAAAACATCCCTTGCTAAATAGAAAACCCTTAAACCATTCCATAGTGCACAAAAATGCTCTTGGATTTTAATTACACCTCATTTAAACTCTGAGCTCTTTTAGTAGCAAACGCGCTTTTAATTAGTGTTTCCTGGGTTATCAGTTTTCCATGGAAACTTACCACAACATAGGTACATTTTAAAATTTTCAAGAAGTCAAACAAGGATGTTCCAAGTCTTTTAACCAACCAAGTCAAGTGAGGGGTTCATAATTAAATTCCATTGGAACACACAGTATTCTATCTGAATATTTTTATATGACACTGAAAGCTTTGTGTTAACAAAAAAATAAATAATCAGGCTTAGCCCCTTGCCTTTTTAAACACCAGGACTGACTTCATCTTTCTGATTTAGTTTTATTGCCTGCATGGGAGTGCTTTCAAAAGGCATAAAGAATACCCATCGAGGAGGTGACAACCTGGCATTCATTCCTGCGACGAGGTTCTCTCTTGCCCCCGAGCCCCTTGGTTCTAGAGAAAAAGATGACATGTTGCCAGAGCAGGGCCTGCAAGAAGAGGCCAGCCAGAGGTGGCCACACCACGCATAGCTGGTGGCGGTCTCTTTTTAGGGAGTGCTGCCTGGGGTAAGCAGTCTTATTTGGGATTGCTCAGCACTCAGCAGAGGAACGGGAGCATCCAGGCATGGGAAGTGAGGAGGTTCGGACTGAGGCCACATGTGAGGCTCAGCTCCCACTGCAGCGGATCCCGCCAAGCACATCAGAGGTGAGAGGAAGCCGAGACTGGGCGAAGCAACTGTGTGTAGACTTCTGTTCTCATGTGTCACGGCAAGCTGAAGGAGAACTAGAGA